CCAACTTTGGAGCCAAACGTCGGAAGTGTTCAATGAAGTTCCACCGACTGTCGAGGACGAGTCCTAGGTACTTCATCGTCGTCTCGACGCCGATGGTAACTCCTCCCGCCGTTATTTGGGACCCACCCGGAGGTGGCGCGTTCCCGCGGCCATGAAAACACATGGCCTCGGACTTGTGGAGCGCCACCTCGAGTCCCAACTGCCGGATTCTCTCAACGACTGTCGCAACCGCTGTCGCCATTAAGTCGGCCGCCGCCTGGTGTGACCTCCCGTGCGCTAGCACCAGCGTATCATCGGCGTAGCATATTGTGCTAACGAAGTGGTTTGGTGTTAGGGTTCGTGGATCTTATTATATTCGTTATAGGGTTGCAAATCGTTAATTTAGTGTAGCTGACAAAGTTCATTTCCTGAATTGCATGTTCAAATATCATCCCCTAAATTTGTTCTTACAAAAGTAGTCTCTAAACATCGGAACTAAAGTCTATTATGTAGTTAGTGGAGAGCAGTCACCGGTGACCGAATATTAAGGGAAATGATAAAAGGTCAAGCCATTTTATGATAAAATCACCTTACCTTCGACGGAATAAAAACTATAATGCTATCTTCCGCAATCTAGTATCTTTTCTGCTGTTGCATTGCGTCGCTATGGTTACGTGACTAATAAACAAAGAGGATGGAGTAAATATATTATTGTCATTAATTTGCAATTATGTACCCATCTATGAGTTTATAGTTTGATTAGTTTGTACAACATATAGGTATATATTATGTATATATATCGTATAAGCAATCCATTTGCATATTATAGTGTTTTGTAAATATCGGGGCAGCGCAATGAATATTTTATCAAATACATTCCGCTATGCCATGGGGTGGAGTTGGTTTATGGTCAACCTGTCTATTCCTTTCCAGTATTGAGTATTTATTTAGTATAACTTCCTGCTCCAGCTTCACTCGCGTATTATTCTTGATATAGTTCATTTTTTATTTTATACTTATCTTGTTTTAATAAATAGTCAAGACAAAAAGTAGTTATACTATGTTCCATGCAAGGGTTGGTCAATGTATTATAGACTAGCGCCTGCCCATGAATTCGTTCGCGTAGAATATGAGTTTTGGGACATAACTTATTTTATAAATGTAGCATATGTTACTCCTTATTACGTCAGCTACCTATCAGTAAAAGTCCCATCAAAACCAGGCTAGCTATTTCAGAGATTAGCTAGTACAAACACAAAGACAAACAGACAAGAATTTAAAACTATGTATAATATACCAACGCATGGGTATCATATGTAGTAAGAAGAGGTTATAAAAATGTAAGTGTCTGTTTGAATTATTCAATATTTCAAACAGACACTTCAATTTTATTTATCCGTATAGATATTCGGTTTTACGAGTATAGAAATATTTAAGTAACATAAAGTGGGCGTTGTTTATATTTAAAATTGTTTATTCTCCACGGACACGTATCTGTGCCCATGTCATACAATAATTAGTAGTCACTTCCACGCGATTTCAATCGCTCTGCTCGGTTCCTGTTATTCGTAGCGTGATGTTTGCCTTATAGCCTTCCTAGATAAATGGACTATCCAACACACAAATAATTTTCCGAATCGGACCAGTAGTTCCTGAGATTAGTGCGTTCAAACAAACAGACAAACAAAGAAACAAAATATAAAGATTATAAAGATCATAATATGGGCCTTATAACATGACTGATAAAGGTGGGTATTACATTAGGTATGTCCACGTAGACGTCATGTTTTAGACTATTTAGATATTACATTTTCGAAAAGAAATATGTATGTCGCAACACAAGTTCATGCCATTACTGACAACAAAGGTTTAAAAGTTAATTTTATTCCACGGCAACATGGTTGCAAGCTTATTGATTAGATAATGGTTCAATATCGGGGGTCTGTACCGTAATTATATAGCCATAGCCAATGTATAGGGGCGATATGGGATCAAAAGTATTAACTCTAAGCCCCATGGTCTGGTCATTCACCTACTTTGGCGACAACGTTTATTACCGATGAACATTATATTTAAAACAATATCTATCTATTAGAAAAATTCTTACTTATACACATTAAAACACACATAGAACAAACATTCAGAGATCGATAGTACAATGGGTACACGGTACAATATATTTAGAGTTTTAGGTTTCTTAAAAACGTTTGGTATTATCCTAGAGTTTGGATTGGAATTGTACCCGAAATATGATATGTATATAGGTATATGTAAACCAACCATAGTTTTTTCTTCTTCTCCTCTTATAATATCTTCTGATTCACTTCGTTGCGGGAACCAAGACAGTTACTCATGTCCCTGGGACGCGCCGGACTTCAGTGTTCCGGTGTTTTCATGGTTGTATCTATTATAGATCCTGGCTTACAGGAGTTGCAGCGGTTTTGGGAGGTTGTGGCGGGCTTGTCCCATTAAAAAAAAATGTATATATATGTAAGACGCCCCTGCAATTAAATGAGATCCATCAGCCATAACAAAACACTGGTAAAGAACTACCCATTCACGAACTAAAAGGTATGGTAAACATAACATAACATAACATCACGCCTTTTGTCCTCGAAGGGGTAGCCAGAGGTGCACATTATGCCACTGTACAATGTAACACCCACTTTTCACTATCTATGTTATGAGTCCCATGTAATAGGGGGTGAGCCTATTGCCATATACCGGGCACAGTTCCAGACACCGTGCTACTACTGAGAATTTTTTTTTAAAAACCCAATAATACTTTGCCCCGCCCAGGAATCGAACCCGAGACCCCTTGCCCGGCAGTCACAATTGCGACCACTCGGCCAACGAGCCAGTCTTCAGTATGATAAACATTAAAAATATTTTCCGAATAAAATCAATACATACCTTTTATTCCCGAAGGCGTCGGCAGAAGCTGGTGCACGTTTCGGCACTTTATGCTACTGTACAATGTATAAAATTAAAAGTGTAATGCTCACAGTATAGTCGCGGAGAACCTAACGGGTAACCGGGGCTCCAGCTCGACGTGCAGGAAAAGGAACGGGGTGGTTTTTAGTCAGTAAGAGTCTGACACTCCCTCCCGCCTCACCCAGGCGGGAGCAGTCATTCGATGATTTTCCCCCCTTAAAAAAAAAATGCTCACAGTATTGACCTATTTCTCATTTAAATTGTGAATACGGTGAACTCTATAAAATCGTACGAGAAAATCTTAATACAAAACCAATTTATAAGTCCCAAATTCCATTTGCCGTAACGTCGGAGCCGGACGTGGACATTGAAAATTCGATCAACGAAGGAAATTCACTCAGCCTCTACTCTACACATTATACCCAGAATCTTACTGACTTGACCGGCAACAGGTACTTTACTAGTTAATACAATATATGAAGGTAACTAACTGAAAGCTTCAAAATTATTTTGAACTCGCTTTTTTTATGTCGACCTGTAACGAACTATACTTGTGTGCAAAGAAACTGAGTTCCTTCATTTTCATTTCTAATTTTCTGATACAAGTATTCTAATAATTGGTAACGTATGTATAAAAGGTAATTGTGTTACATTTAAAATGAGAGCATTCTTTTTTTTTAATTTATAGAGGGTTCAATAAAATAAAAAATGGAAAATTCTAGTGGCTCCCAAATTCATCTAACGAAACCTAAGAATCGTAATTACATACACTCCAAATTGATGCATTATTATAAAACTTAGCACTTATTTATACCATGGCCATATAATATTACGGTATCATCGAGCTGGTTTGATGATATAATTGGTGGAAACTGTTGGAACCTTAGGCTACCTACCAGTTAACAGTTTGAGCACATTAGACACGTCCATTTCTTCTGATGACGTTGACATATTTCAGTTGTTAGTGTTTTCAGCTACGTATATACATATTTTCCCTTCCCCTTTTCCCTTAACATTTCCCTTAACAAATTAGATCCATCCGAGTAGGTTTCCCAGTTTCTTTATGTGTTTCTTATTATTTTCAGGGATGGGACAGCAGATCCAATGCAGGTGGTGAGGAGAGTGAAAGTCCACCGCCTGCTCTCATTCCATTGGACGCTGTCTGGCAACCTGTTGGTGGAACTCGGTGAGTTTGTACCATATTCGTTTAATTTTCAAAAATATTGTATGTATTATAACACAAGTGACTACCGTGCGGTTTTCACCCGCTGCTGCCATCTATTGGGTATATCGTAGCATTTTATAGGCCCTATAGCTTTCCTCGGAAAATGCACTATCCAACACAAAAATAATAATTTAATTCGGACGATTAATTCTGGAGATTAGGGCATTCAAACAAACAATCAAACTCGCCTTCAGCTTTATATAATACAATAGTGTAAAAGACATACCTACCTACTCATATCTTGTAATTATTGTTACTATATTAGATACTTTTAATCGTAATGCTTAAATAATTTCTTTCAACAGTCATATAATTGGCTAGTTTCCAAGGTTTAAAATAAATTGTTTTAATGCAATAAATAATTAAAAAGTAATCATAATCATAATCCATTGATTTGACAATTTACCTACTTTTGGATTTTTTCTCGCTAATTTTAAGGAAATAAGTATGCTGTTTGACTCAGAAATATGTTGACGTCATAAGTTTCGACGATCCAATGCAAAATTCATAGAAAAGTATCGTTTTTGACATTTTAATAAAAGTATTGAATTTGACTAGTTGTCAACTACCGTATTGTACCGTACCGTAAAACGGAGTACTAATTGAACTATCTAATTTAACTCGTATCAATTAGTAACATTGTTCTTATAACTATACACTTACATAGACCAGCAGAAATCTAGACGAGTCGGTCAAAAATATTTAAAACATTTTCGTCTTTATCACAAACCTATAAACTTCAAAATATATGAAAGTTTTCTGTATATGTACAGAACAGAACTTTGACGGAATAACTGTTATTATCGTTAAAGTTTCGCCATATGTTGAAGTAACAATATTATAAATTAATAACTTTCGTATCTAAGTGTGTATCTATAAATTACGCAAATAACTAATTTTAATACCTACGCTTGTCTTCTAATGTGATATGGGACTTCAAATATGTCTGAAAGGAGCTAAAAGTTTATTTATTTGAACCCAAATCATAACAGATAACAAGTTGTAATATTGCTCTAATGTCTATGATTTTGTTTGTTAAACATATCATAGATTCCTATTATTTATGTATTGTCAGGTATACCAACTAAACGAACATTTAAAGCTAAACGATCGATCCGTATAAATCACTAATGTGAACCACTGTCCACCACTATCCGTATCACTACAAAATAAACAATTTCGAAATATTATTACAGTTAACATAATTCTTTAGGGGCTCGCTGTTTAACAAGAATATTTTACGATCTTGGTAAGACGGATATCATGGCACATGATTTTGAATCCTATGTAATAGTTTATAGGTTTTATTACTAGTCATCAGACAATGTGTCGATCACCTACACTTAGGAGCAAAGAAACGGTGCCACTAGCGTTTGTCCTTTTTCGTTTCTTGATAAATATTTTCTGATACAAATATTTTATTAATTGGTCACGTATGTCGTATAAAAGACAATTTAGTTACCTTTAAAATTAGAGCAGTTTGTTGAAAAGAAATATTTTTTTTAAGTTATACTTAGAGGGTTCGATAAAATGAAATCCAAACCAAAAACATTAACTGTAAAAAAATGCCAAGTCTCCCGATGCAGTTTTTCCATCGTAAAAAGTTTTGAGATCTTATAAAAGCAAAGTCCTATTCAAATTATTTTGTAGTTATAAATTATTGTTTAGTAATTGTATAAATTGTTCTTTATATTATAATTATAGAGGTAGTGACTTGGCAACGAGCACAAAAAACAACAAATAAAACGTAGTAAATAGTAATATCACAAAATTAATTTTCTTTTGGTTTATCTGTCCCAACCGAATTTTTGCAATGGCAGTTAGTCTCATCCAGGACTAGTAAACTGCGCAGTATATAAATCATAGTGCCTAAATAAACCCAAATTTCTAGCTTTGTCCACGTCGAAGTTATAGGGGGGGGGGGGGGAAACCCCGAATCGCTTCGAGAAAAGATGGTAGGGCCGTGCCCGTTTTACTCGAGACTTGGCTGGGACACTGCCGTGCCTCCAGATAGTTCGTCCGTTTCTTATTGCTCCTAAGTGTAGTTATGAATCAAATAGTCAATAATTTACAATACTCGTCTCGAGTTGCAAATGAACTTGAGGTTTTAGTCAACTTATAGGGTAGTCACGGTGAAATTGTCATAACAACTAATGGATCAATCATCAGTCTTTTTAATTTTATTTATGGTGCCTTTAACTCGCGTGTGTCGCACGTCCGATGGTTTATAATCCATTTACAATATTATTTTACAATACAATTCCAATCATTAAAGTCCAATAATTAGGGTTACACCTGTGTTAACGTAAAAAAGCTGTTATATATATACGCCTTAGATACAAAATCGAATATTTGTCCCCGAATCGACGAAAACGTTTCTGTAATTACATATTGTCACGAAATGAAGGGTTGCCGCTCGTCGCCAAAATATTGTCCATTTATGATATTGCTTTCCAAAAATTATATCATCGTAAATAAAATGAAGACTAGTGTCATCCATGACAGTTATTATCTGTAAAAGAATATAGATGTACTTGTTCAGTTCTATTCATTGTGTAATAAAATATTCTTCTTCGAGGCTTACAATTTGATAGCGAATGCCAAGTTTCTGAGCCCTAGACATAAACATAAACATTTGTTCGTCAAAACCGCGTCTACCATAGAATTTGACATGAACATTTTATTTCTCTCTTTATATTCTACGTTTTATGAGTACGTTTTGTACTACACCGCGTGTTCGGATTTGGAACTAATGAAATGTTCGAAAAAGAACGTGTCCTCAATATCTAGTGGTACGAAATTTCCGTAAATAATATATTAGATAATGTTTTATGACGATGATTATGATAACGTGGAAATTGATTAATATATTATCAATTGACACTATGAGGAGTTCGGTGAGGTGAGGAGAGGACAAGTAAATTACCATCTCTCATAACTAGAAACATTATTTTGAAATAATATCTAGATATTTGAATAAAGGTAAATATTTTAAGGCCGATTTTTCCAACACCAGATAATTTTAAACTGAGGTACAACTTTGAACATTTGACAATGCTTTCATATCTAAAACTGTCAAGTATCAATTTTAACCTATAGTAAAAAATAAAATGATGATTAAAAATCGACCCTTTTTAATTTAATTTTATAATTTGTGTCACCCCTATAGTCTGTCCTACATCATATTAAATTACATTTATTTACTTTTTATGGCTATTAAAACACAATTAGGATAGTAGAAGCACTCGCTGACTGTCGCTAATGACTTCTGTGATTTTGTTTTGGTGACAAAACCGTATTTGTATCTATATGCTGCATGTTGATCGCAAGTCTTGTTTCTATCTCTATTTTATGGCACTTGTACTTAAATATCGTGCCATCTCTGTCTTTTATAAAGAATTTGTAGAGACGGAACTATACTTAAGCGCGACTTAAAATTGAGTGGCGTGTGAGTATTTCAGCTTAAATCGAGGAACTGTAGACTGTGGATTGTGGACCATCCCGAGCGTAAGGCACGTCGCGTTCCGCGCGCGCCTCAAGGAATCATCAGACCACCACGGCTGGGGCCCAATAGGGCTGATGCCGATTCGGAGCCGCGGTGAAGCTTAACGGGTTACCAGGGCTCCGGCTCGAAGTGCAGGAGTAGGAATGGGGGGGTTTTTAGTCAGTAAGAGTCGACACTCCTTTCCGCCTCACCCAGGCGGAAGATGTCATTCGATGATTTTCCCCCCTTAAAAAAAAGACTGTGGACCATTTTGACACGAAGACTACCATATAACGCACATACGACAAACAAACCCATATGTAATTATATTTTCATCTTCAAACAATAAATCACTACAATGTAGTTTTTATCTTTTACTACTTTGTTTACTCTTCTAAATCCTCGAGCGGTCACCGGTGACCTTTGTCCACTACATTATAAACCTTATATCCGATAGTTAGACTCAACAACGGCTGCCTCGTTGGCCAAGTGGTCGCAAGTGCAACTGCCGGGCAAAGGGTCTCGGGTTCGATTCCCGGGTCGGGTAAAGTATTACTGAGTTTGTAAAAATCTCAGGAGTAGCACGTAGTCTGGAATTGTGCTCAGTATATGGCAATAGGCTCACCCCCTATTACATGGGACTTGTAACATAAATAGTGAAAAGAAGGTGTTATATTGTACAGTGGCATTAAGTGCCATATTGTGCACCTCTGTGTACCCCTTCGGGGATAAAAGGCGTGATGTTATGTTATATTCCGATAGTTAGAGACTACTTTTAAAAGAACAATTTTCGTAACCATGGATTTATACACGAAGCGTATCGCAATAACCATCGTATATGCTGCGCTAAGATTGAATTATGCATTTCTGATTAATAAACATCATTAATAGTTGGGTTTGCACTTGTATTATTATCAACAAATTACTCGTTACGTAGGTAGTGTACAATCTCATATACGTACGTATATGTATAATTTAGATAAGCCATAACATAAGCGTAAGTTATCCACCCGGGTATCAGCAGCCACGATGCTTTTATGCGTTTTTAACCTCTATTTAACGATGCAATAACATATTTTTATTTAAAGTAAATGTCACAATAAGGATGATGGCAGGGTGAGAAAGTTAAAAAATATAATAAGTCTTTATTATAACTTTCGTGAGACATAATAATTATTCTAACTAGTCCGTCAGTTAGATAATGTAAAAATATTAGACTCGTATTTTTTTATTTTTTCGTATAAGATAACAATACTTAGATGAAATGAATCAAAGTTTAAGAGTGGGAACTAGCTATGTCACTTTAGTTAGAATATAAAACGACATTTTAAATCATATATCGTCTAAAGTATTCGTTTATGTAAGAAAATAAAAATACGTGTCTAATGTTTTAGAATAATATATCAGCCGTAGTTTTCCCAGTGGGCTACAACATAGGGTTCTTCAAAAGTGGAGTGAAGGTTTCTTAAGGGTCAAC